TTCTACAACTCACCCTCCTTTTTGGATGTTTTGTGAAGAGTCATATCTTCGATTCATGAGCATCAATCGTCAGGTAAAATCTTCGTTGTAGCTTTTAGGATTTGAGCACTGATTTGAGTATAGAATCTGCATATATGATATTCAGGGTGGGCTAGTGTTAAGGAGTGTGGCTGCTAGCTTAAATAGGGTACATCTTATTATTGTTGATAGGATGTGGGTCGGTCCCAGGAGGTATACCCTTCAGACACCTACCCTCTTAGGATTTGTCTAGTCTGCGTACCCCCTGAGGTGAAGTTGGATCCCCACTTCACCTCAGACCCTTGCTGATCGTCTCTCAGCAATAACAAGCAACTTTCTCATCTCAACGTGATCGTGGACAAGCGTGTCAACGACAGAACCTACCTTCATCTATCTCTAGGAGCAAGCTACCGCCCACGGCTTCCCCTCCTTTAAATATTGACCAAATCCTCTCGATGATATCTGATGTACGGTGGGTTGCGATATTTTGATATTTTGGGGTTTTCGAAAAGGGAAAGACTTTCTTTCATGTGTGGTGCTTTCCTGCAGGTGGAACAAGCGTTTGTTTGTTGTCCGTGAGTATATTTGAAGGGAGGGCTGAGAAGCTTTATTCTTGTTAGAATCTGAGGTGTGCACCTACAGATTCGATGAAATATTAGCGTGTGGCTTTGGAGCGGGGCTCCTCAAAAATCAGAGAGGCAAAGGTCGGCCGGGGTGTTACAGTTGTTAGCGACAGTTGTGAGATTGGAAGGGTACAAACAAACGCGGCGATCGATGTGAACCAGCTGATGATGATGACATGCATGCATACAGTACATACGCTCACAACGCGGACACACACGTGGATTCGCGGCATTCTTTTGGCCATGAACACTGACCTACAAGCAAGTAGTACGTCCCACGACACAACACCAAGCTCCCACATCTTCTTGGTCAAGGTGAAGGGTAGGTCTCCGGCAAACAAGACTGGAAAAAAAACCGCATCATCATGTATGTATTGTATGTGTATGTATGTATGTATGTATGTATGTATGTTGTATGTATGTATGCATGTATGTATGTATGTATGTCTATCAGCTTATTACTACTTATTTCCTCCAAAGGGAACAAAATAATCAACGCTGTGCAGCTGGGCAGGCACATTGAGCTCTACATATGATATATATGTATAAATTGCTCTGCTTTGCAGGGCTGCCTCCAATCCGTGGTCCCTTTTCCTTTGATCCTTTGAACGGATTGGATTTCGTGCGTGACGGCGTGTGACGAAACGATGAAAAATAAATAAATCCTATCGGGAAAAATGGGAGCGAGTGTGTCTCTTTCTCCGTCGCGGAGTCCTCTGTCTCTTGTTCAACTAATTAAATAATAGTATTGTACATCATCATGCCACACAGCGGATGGATGTATGCCTACGCCGTCAGTAGTTTGCTAGCCTTTCTTCTTGTTGTGCGCTGGTTAGCTCTTGCCTGGGCAACAAGAAAAAGTCTCGAAAAAAGGGGGGGGTAATGTGGAGACCACCTTCATAAAGGTAGAAACTCCCCAACGTCTGTCGAGGACGATTCCCTCTTTTCACATGTCTGGTGGTTGTGGTTGTTGATGACAAAGATATTAACAAAAAAAAAAAAGCCAGGGCTGTCCTCGTTAATTTCTCCACGGTAATTTTACCGTACGTAGTTGGGGATCCAATCCCTACGGTCGGGGAGAGACGCAAGGAAGGAAGCTGACATGGTAGTATTATTGCATGTGCGGGATGGGAGAGGAGAGGTTGCCGAGATTAGTATGGGAGGCGAAGTGGGCAAACAAAGAGAGGGGTAGACAACCCACGGAATGGGTCAAGGTTGTAGAGGACGTATGGAAGGGGTTAGACATCGACGAAGAAGATGAAACGCTGGAAACGGAGGGCTCTACAGGGGTTCAAGGAGAAGATATCTATCTGTTGCTTGTGCCGAGAGAGAAGAACAGAATCTAAGGAAATAAACCGAGTTTAAAAGAGGGTCTAGAAGTTTACGGAATGTTGAAAGAAGGAATAGGGTTCAAGGATTACCTGCTACTACATGGACCAATGGATGCAGGGACAAAGCTTAATTAAAGCTTAATTAAGGTCAAATTCAGGACCGGGGACATGAGCCTTCGAGAACGTCGACGAAGACATAGATAGATAGATAGGACGGTAGACGACGAAGACGACAAATTCAAATAAATGTGATTGCGGCCTCGAATGCAAGACCGTGTTCATGTACTCTATCTAGTCGCGGAATGTCCGTGGTACGAAGAGGAGAGGGAAGTGTACATGGCTGAGCTGGGAACAATGCAAGGGATGTACAGGGAGATGTTTGAGGCATGGAATAGAGAGGAGAGGACGGTAGGTAGCTGTACTGGGGAGGAGTAGGAAGTGGTTTGAAAAAGCCCAGCCCACGAAATTTTTGCCGCATCGATAATTCCGCGTCCTGCTCACGAAAGTCCACGAAACTCGGACAGCCAACGCAAACACTGTCCACACATGTGCGTGCCAATTTACAACGCCATCCGACCTGCACACCGCCCGCGACAGCTTTTCGCCTGCGCTACGCTGACCTCTCGCGGCACAAGACAATCACCCCGGCCCGCAAGAATTCGCAATTTCTCAATACATACTCACAGCCCCTCGACAAAAATCTTTCATCTATCTATCTATGTGGAGCTACAGCGCAGCGCAACTCGACCCGCAAATCAGCCGAAACGGTGTTCGTTGCCTTGTTCGCTCCCCTCGCCACCGTCCTTGCCGAGACTTGCGCAGCACGCCTATTTCGTCCTAGCGCATCGAGCCGCGGCCAGCATGGGGCTGTATCTTGCTCGGTTGTGGAGTGCGCGGTGGCGAAAAAATGCAAGGGGTTGCCCAAGAGGCGCCTCAGCGCCTCTGATTTGGGGGGGTATTGTACTTTTCCTCTGCGCTGCGTGCGGCACGAGTTGAAACACTCGCCGTGCTGGCGAGGGCAGGGGTGTGGGCAGGCATGGCCGCGAACGTCGTCGTCGTGGCGGTTTTGTGGCGTTGTTGAGCTCAAAGAATTCAGCCAAAGCAAACAGGTGTCCCCACTAAAAACAATAAGGGATTTTGAGCGAGACAAAATGCTTGGGTTTGGCGTCGGTGTCGCTTGGATTGAAATTCCTTCGACAGGGCCGTCGAGGGGTAGGTCTCGCGAAGGCACCGCCGAGATCTCATGCTCGTAGCTTTCGCGAGCCGAGAGAAATCGGCCGTGGTCACTTTTTTCCGGTCACTTATTCCGCGGTCACTTTTCCTTATAAATAGTTTTTTTTTTCCGGAGCTGAAACCAATCCTAAACGGATCGGAATATGGATGGATATCCATGAGCGCGCGCTCGCTGCGAAAACAATCGATCTTTACGCCGCAATCGTCCTCAACCCGCACCATACAATGCATTGCAGAAAAACAAAACAACTCGTCTCGCAGGCTCACAGCGGCCGCAGTCAGCCCGAAAGTACAAAACAGCAGTGAACATGTTGTCAACATGTAGGACGAAAATCACTTGCTACGTCGCTACCCCGTATCGGGGTGTCGTGCCCAGTTCAGCTGTTCGTGTGATACTCTTCCGTGTGGCCCATGTGCGAAGGGCTCAGGACGCAAGTTTAAGCAACGCCTGCAGTAGTGCGTGTGGCGACATGTAGACGGTCTATAAAAAGGAACAACAAGCTCTTAAGATCAAGACCTAAAATTAATGGCGCATTTAGACAATACTCACTCAAGGTTTTACAGCTGCACAACCAGCTGCTTGGATACAACACGATACACTGCAATTGAATACCGAACACCTTGCCCCGAGCTATATGTACAACATACATGGGCAGGTTCTTGGGGGGGGTGTACACAGAACTTTTCGCTACTAGGTAATGCCGCCTCGTCTTAGCCTTCTCCAAGCTCCGCAGCAATTTCTGCTTCCAAGGCCGCGTCGATGCTGGTGTCACTAGCACCGTCGTCCAGATCATCCAGGTCTCCGAGATCCGAATATTCGTCATCGTCTGTTCGGAATGGCCGTGATAATCAAGACGAGAGATGCACCACAAGGTGATGCCTATTTAGCGTGGCAGTTGTGCAGGCAAGGTCCGCTGGAATGCAAGAGAACAACATCGAGGTTGTGATTCTATACGAACTTTCAGCACACTGGGACACGTTCATGGACATTTTCTGTCACGCTGTGTTGGGCGTCTGGCAATTCCCCAGCGGCCTAGCTGACCGACGCTAACAGAAAACATACGTCAAGACTATTAAATAATAAAGGCGTGAGAAAAAGATGTGACGTTTTTAATCCTGCTTCGACAGGTATTAAACTAACGGTTACTGAAGAACGAAACCAAATTTCTTATTGGTCCTAGCAGATTGGCACAAGGAAGGTGCCACAAGAAGAATGGTCAGGAGCAGTGGTGTTGGATCGTTATCGAAAACTACTCTGGATCCGGAGGCAGAAAATGTATATCCAGGCCCCGGATCCCCTGTCGAGAGAACCCGCAACTAAACAACAAATCACGTTCTCCTCCAGCAAGAGTTTTCATTGATCAGTCTCTCATCCAGCAACACGCACGCACAGCTCTGTGTATCAGGAGCATCTGCTGCCTGCATAAAATACATCTGAAAATGAATTGGGGAAGCGTCAGTTCGCCGTGGTTGTGCCGCGCCGCCATGCCCGACTGCTTGTATCATTGCATCCTTCATCAAAAATCGCGGGGGCAGGACATGCTTCTGCGTCAAGTGGCCCGCCTCACCGTTGTCGTCGTCGTTGGTCTTGTCTTTGTCGCCAACCCGCTTGTGATCCGTCTCGTTGGCCAGCTCAGACGGTGACGTCATGCTCTGCACGTCCCCGTGACTGATTTTGTCGTACTCTTCGCTCGTTGTAGTCTCGGGATGTTCCTGAACATGGGGGACACGGCGCGAGCGCGCGCGCGAGGGTGTTTGAATGTTGTGCAAACTACGAAATGTGTTGGAGGCTCGGCGTTGAACGCGTTATCAACCTGAAGCTTCTCAAACAACGGCTGCGGCTCGCGGGCGCATTCCTCATCGATCGTGCCAGAATCTAAGCAGCCAACGTACCCGTCGTACAATACCTATCGACGGGAATGCCAAACAAAACAAATCCGGCCTGCACTTGCGAGTGGTACAAATAAGGTGCTCGTCCATTCAGAAGTGACCAATCGTCGCCCGCAGACGTGCGTGCGTGTGAAAAGAGCGATCGCGATCGGTTTGAATGCAAGACCCGAAAATACCTCATGAATAGAAAATACATGTGGTCGTGTGCACACACACGGATGCAAAATGCAAACACAGATGGATATGCATACATATCCACTCCCCCTCTCGAAAGCACTTATCCTAATCGTGTGACCTCACCTTGCTCAAATCTTCACACAGCGGCTCCAGGTCCACCTCTGCTCGAAGGGTAGCTACCCGCGAGAAATAGTGGTACCAAAATGTTCTCTCCGGCATTCGGGAAATGAGACGGGCGTGGATCTTGGCCAAATTTGGATCTAGGGACAACATCTTGATGGCGACGCTGGTATGTCGATCGAGCTGAAACGCGGCAGCGCCGTTTCGGTCGTCGTCTGCACCCCCGTTGCCCTGCAGAGCGCTATCCTCGGAGATCTCCTGCCAGAAGCCAACAGGGAAAGGAGCAAACGCTCTTTTGAAACAAAAACGGAACCTACGAGAGAAGGAAGGAGAACGGCGTGTTCACGGTGGCGCTTCATTGACCACCTCTCGAAATATCATCATTGCCGTATCGCTACGAGCTCCCAAGCTTCTGGTCTGGTCTGGGCTGTGCGGTTTGTCCTTGACTCTCTACTCGTTGGCGTTGGCAACAGGCTTCCCTGCCTAATAATTTTTTTCCCGCAGAACTCGACCATCGTTGATTGTTTTAATCCGTGCATACTGGTTGCAGATGCACAAACGAGTCGAAGCCCAACATACGGGTCGATGGCAGTACGGCTGCTAAGGCATGCATATGCGCCATGAAAAAGACCAAACATACAACTTCAAGCGGACGGTGTCAGCTGTTCCTCAGACCATTTTGCAAAGACGATCCAATTATCCCACACAAGGTTCATCCACCGCGAAAACCACAGCACAAAACAGATCGGCAATAAAAATCCGCCTACCTCCGGCTTCGTTCCAGACTCAAGCGGGGGCGTCGTGAAGTTGCTCTCCTCCAGCGACAAAGACAGGATCTTTTCCATCAGGCCCTTGGGAATTCAACATGTTTTTATCGAGACAGAAACGGCGGCAACATCCGCAGCGGAAGCCAAGGGTACAAGTTTCGTTCATTGTCTCCTGCTTTTGGCACAGCGGCACGTCTTGTTCAAAGGGAGGCATCACCGCACTACAGTATTGCAATGCTATGGGCTTCCTGTCAGCGTCTCCGATTAAAACAACAAGAGAGGAACGTTCGGTATTACGGGTGCTGAGTGATTTTCAAAATTGTGATCAGGACAGAAGGAAAGTCATCGCTGGAGTTCCACTTCCGCCGCGGTCCGGTCGTTAACAAGTATCCATACGCACTTGATCCGGCGGATACAATGACCGGCGCCTATGTGGAGTACGCTACGATAGCAAAGAAGGGCAACAGCACTACGACAGTTTCGCAGTACCATCGGTAAGCAGCGAGGAGATACTTGAGATAGGGCCCCTGCCAACTCAGGGTGTTATAATAGAGCCTCGCCACAACGAAGTACGTCATCAAGGCCTGGCACGCGCCTCCCATCACGTGTCACAGAATATTTGGTGCCTTTCTTCAAGTTTATGGTTCACAGAAAGCTTGCTCAAATAATCAAGACGGGCAGCTCATGAAATTACAAGCGTGCTTTCGACTCACATGACTGAGTATGGCCATTTTTTCGATTCGCGTCTCCCACGGCAAGATCTTAATCTCTGCTTGCTTCAGGCCAGCGTCCTCTGCGCGAGGAGGGGAAACAGGCGGCAACGACGAACAAAACAAGACATTGCTAAGCGAGTGAGTGTTCTCATCATTTCTGCCCATGAAAATAGCACTCTTGCGCACTTTCGAACATTTCAGTCTATTGTACGACTTCTTCAGCCGTGCCGCGCAGGAGCACATCACACCGGGGCATGGTGCCCCCTTAGCAGCGCCACTCTCTGTCAAGCCCGTAAACATCATACACTTCTCAAGCAGCAGGTGAACGCGAGTCTACACGCCAAAACGTTCGGGTACCCATGTACGTTTCATGGCTACAGTACAGAGGCTAGATGCACCAGAGGTGGTTCACTGTCCTACCGTGTGTACGTACGTAGGTAACCCCACCTTGCTGAATTTTCGCTTCCTTCGATGTGATATCATCTTCAGCGTTCTGGATGGCCTTATTAATTTCCTGACGTGACCATACAGGGACACGCACACAGGGAGAAAATTATCAACAAATGGTGGCGTGCTGGGCCTATCCATGCCCTCTCCGCGGGGCATAGGGTACGTGAAACAATCAGTGCCCGGGCATCACAATACTGTCCGAAGAGACCGAACCATCATATGGGTTAAAGCATTTCCGATTGTGAATAATCGCAAAGTCCTTACTTGTAGACTGCCATGAGTTCCAGGATCACGTGCGTCGCACGCCGTGCGAGGTTTCTAGAACTGGGTAAGCATCTAGGGTATGTGCGTTTGCGGTCGCTATGACATGCCCCACGTGTAGTCACGGAAAATGGAGCTCGCTTAGTTTACGGACCAGAATGCTGCAACACTCGTGGACAGGTTCAAGCGTGGCTCTTGATATTCGTGCATATAGACCTTCTTCTTCTTTGTATCACGAGTCGCACCTCCTCTAGACTGCGCGACGACATGCGCACTTAAGCATAAAAACACTGCCAACATGCCTATTGATACAAATACTCAACACAACCATTTTCTGCATCGAAGTTGGGGCTGAGAGGCAGAAAGATTACTTCACTGCAGGTGCCTCTAATACATGAATACCTACACAAGCCAGCCGCGACGTGACAAGAGATTCCGAACGTGCTCGCCCAAATACTGTTATCTGCTGCTGCTCTGGCAGACACTTCCCACCCACGTGTTCCTTCCTGTGTGTACCAGGTGTAGATTGATGGACAGGTTTTAAACTAACAAATGCAATGTCATTGATCTAACCAAGTCTTGCAAGGGGAGGCTCTACTGCTGTACTCACTTTTGACTCTTTGTGTGTTTTTGTTTCGGTCGGCGCCACTGAATGTTCACTCTACCGTACGACTTCAACATTTCCCAAAGATTCCCATTTTAGAGGGTCGTCCGTCTCGTGATGTAGACAACTACTGCGAAGGCAGCACATGTGTACCCTTACACTACCATACAGCAGTCTACTGCTGGTGTAGTATGTATACCAGGGCGGTAGTCTACACTGCACCGGCTCTTGTGCGAAAGTTCACTGTCCGTATCTGCTGCACACACTCTGTTACCTCGAGATCAAAAGCAGCTAACGTGTTGACTTTCTGCTGCAGGTCCTCGCCCATTTTTGCTGCACTCTCGCCAAGGCTCTGCGTGAGTCCGGTCACCTGCCAAAGATGCAACCCCGCGAGCACGCGCAGTTTCATCTCGTTTTATAACTCGGAGTTGAGTAAGCAAGGCATTCTGTCACGACCATGTCGTTGGAAAGCAAACAAGCGCCGACTACACACACCTGGGCACCGATCTGGTCAAGGTTCATATTGCTGAACCACCCCGCCATGGTTGTGGAAGGGTCTTTGGATGGGAGGGAGAGTACGTCTGCTGTTGCTGTGCGTACGCGAGGCAGCAGAGGGGAGCCGCTACCAGAACCGCAAATGGGGGCATATGGTCGGTTCAAAGGAAACGCTTTTCGAACCAATGCAAACCCGTCGTCGCAAGATCCAACACCGATAATGCGGGGCCTCTCTATGCAACTTTGTTCGATGAACTTTCACCTTGCTGCTTGCCACTGCTTGCACTCTGTGCACCGGTCCACGCAGGCTGCGCGTGACACATAGAGCAAGGCGTAAACTGCAGATAGTTAAACAGCAAGCCCGATGGCGTTGGACCGCTTTCAGGAAGACGAGTTGATCAAAGACCATGCTATCCAGGCAATCGCCGCCAGCACGCTGAACAGATCGGTGAGTTGTCGGCGAACGATGTCGGGCGGCACAAATGCCATATGCATATAGACTATCCCAGCCGTGGGCAGTCCAAACTTGATTGCAGCGGTGATATTGTAGGCTTCCCACGAGGCGATCCACTCTGGCCTGGATGG